TCAAAATATTTTTCAAAATTAATTTTCTTATAATTTATGTATATATATATATATAAATACTTAGATTCTTAAAATATATATATATATATATATTATTAATGTGATTCTTTTTTTATTAGTAATGTATTTTTTAAATAAAAAACTAAAAGTCATTGAAATAAATATTTATAAAAATTTCAATTATTTTCATTAACAGGAAAAAATATGTGTCTTCAATTGAAACTCTCTTGTTTATTTATTTTTTTTTCACCTTGACAGAACACATGTTTTTTTTATGAGAATTATTGTCTTTTTTTTGTATATATAAAAATATATTGATTGTAAAGGCAAGTTTTAATTTAAAACAAAAAAAAAACATAATTCAAAAGAAATAAAATAACAATTAATATGAAAAAATTATGTAAAACATTAACAAAAATATAAATACTACTTTCATTTAATATTCATCAACATATCATATTTTATATCAATTCATATCAAATAATTCAAAAAATAATTATTAATATTATCATAAAAAATGATAATCTTATACGACAACTGTGATAAAATTAGTTAATATAATTCAATATTTTACTTATAATGAATTTTATTTAACATTGATTAAAAAAAAAGAGAGGTAATACTAAAAAAGATCAAGCGTTAAACCTGTATTAAAAAACAAACATAGACATGTACAGCCCTGCAATGTCAAGCCCTCATCCTTTACCCTTTTATTTTTATTTTTTATTTATTTAAATAGATGACATTTGATTTGTCATGATAGATGATGAGGCATAATCAAATTTCAATTTTGGTCACCTTGTTTTGTTTTTTTAGATTAAAAATACATATTTCAACTTATTTTCATTTAAAAACATATAAAACAAATCATAATAATCTAATTAAACTTGTTTTAACCTTAAAACATAGTAAGAAAAACAAGTATACATACCAAAAAAGTATACCAAATAAAAAAATTTGAGTTTTAATCTATTATTTTATGACAAAAAATTCAAACTATTTTCATGGAATTTAATTTTTAAAAACAAATCTATTAATACTATGATTAGTCTTTTACATGGTTAGAATATTATTGAATTATTTTTTAAATTTTTTATTGTTTTTCAATAATTTTCACTCTTATTTCATAAAAATTCGAGATTAAAATATGATAAAAATAAAATTTATAATGAAAATATAAATTAAAAAATTACATGCACTAATTAAATTTAAATCGAAACTTCAAAAATCAAACTAGAGTTTTCTATGCATTTTTAACGGTGGGGTTTTGTTGGTTTATTTTGATCCCTTTTGCTTTAATTTTTTTTATTTGTCACTTTAAATTGTTTCTCATAGGATTTTTCTTTATAATTTTTAGAGACACTCAGTGTACACGAATGTATAAACGAGAAGTAAATAGTAACACAAAAAAATGAATATCTTTTTTTAAAAAAAACTAAAGTTTCGAGGCATTGTTAAAGAAATAGTGTTGTCCGCATTTCACTGCGACCCCTGCTGTAGTCGCTGTAATGAGCATTCTTTGTTTCTAAATTTGATGCAAATATTTCCTCAAAATCAGATCAATTATTTAAATTATAAATAAATTACTACAACATAACTAGTAAATGTAAAATAGTTTGTAACAACTTATAATTCTTAGAATATGAAATTTATTTTAATCTAAAACAATATAAAGATATAATTTCCTACAAATAAACAATTTAAACAATATTAAATGAAATATTAAACCACTTGGATTTTTCATTGTAGCTCATCCATAATGTAATGTAACTAGAAATATAGTGAAATTATCTTTTTATCTTTCATCTTTTAATTTTTAAAGCTTTGCTTTAGAAGTAACATAATCTTTGTACGTGATCAATTTATTATTTTTTATTTGTTTTGAGGTAGCACTGTTTTTTAATTTTTTTAATAATAGTGCAATTATGTATTACCCTTAGAAAATAAACAATTAGAATCTTTGGTTCAGAAAATTATGAACGGATGAATTACGCAAGTATCCTTACTATGTAAATTTATTAGTCTTGATTTGATAGGCTTGATTGTCATTTTCTAATGGCTTTTTTGTTATTATTATTTAACCCTAAGAGCATTTTTGTTTTTATATATATATATATATATATATATTATGAATAGTTAAATTACTTCGTTGCCTTGCCATTTAAGTTTTTTTTAGCCTTAACTTTAAGGGCTTAATTGTAATTCAATAAAAAAAATTGGTTATTGTTGTTTATTCATAGAGACATTTTTAGTTTTGTGTATATAAAAAAAAGATTATCGACACACACCAGCCACTTCATTGTCTTCATGCAGTGTGTTCAATTGACAACAATAATTGAAATTAAGCTTTTACCATATCATTTAATGATCTAGATATTATTTTTTTCCTGGATGGTGTATATATAGTAGTGAGGTTTGATGTGATACGAAGTGTTTTTTTTCTCTTTTTTAATTAGATTGCGTATTGGTTATGTAAAAAATTATATAAACTCTTTAATTTCTCTTTTCTTTTGATGCAATTATTATTCTTTTAATTGCAATTGTTTTATTTATATCAATTATTTTTAATCAAATTTTATTTTCAATTTTATTCTTAATAGGTGACACGTCAACCTAACAACTAAAACTCTATTTTTATAAAATAAAATAAAAATATATAGCATGATGAAAATTTGTTGATATTGTTTTTTTAAATAAGTATTTATATAAAACTCTATTTTTATAGAATAAAAAAAATATATATAGTATGATGAAAATTTGTCAATATTGTTTTTTTAAATAAGTATTTATATGTGAACGCATATATATAAGGATAATTTTATAAAATAAAAATAATATTAATGCTAAGCTAATAAAAATAAAATACCAAAATTAATAGATAAATAATAACTTAGTCACGAACATGAATTTTTATTGGCTGATAAGATACCAGCCTTGCCATTTTCTTTTTGAGGGATCTTGACGGTTGAAACCACTTTTCCTTCTTCCCTTTTATTGACAAGGTGAAAGAGTGTTCTTCGCTGGGATTTGATCATAGAGAGCTCATTTGCCTTCGTATTATCCCATAATAAACTGAGAGCCATTGTGCATCTGAAGGGGATAAACATCGAGACATTTGGCTGGGAGAGCTTCATGCTCCCTTGCATTGTAGGAGGAGAATAATTCAAAAATCATTTACTTGGCTCCCCATAATAATTTCAGCCCCACGTCTCTATCTGCTGTGCTGGAAGACCCACCAATATGTTTGAAAGTGCATTGATAATAATGTTTTAAAATCTTTTTTATTTGAAAATATATTATTTTTCAGAGTCTGTATGACTGATCTTTGTCAACATTGATGACTGTGTTCTATGGTCCATTTGACTAATCATAGTGAACTTGCATATGGGGTTGATGGGTCCATATGATGATTTAGTTAGCGTGAAAGTACAATTTTTTCTGATGGATTTTTTTTTAAATTAAAAATTCTATTAGAAATTAAAAATAAAATATTTTTCTTTTCAGTATTGATATTTTTTTTTTGAACTTATGTCAAATGAAGAAAGTGTCATATTATAAAAATTAATTCCAAAAACTACACGAGCCCCTCAATATTACAAACAAAACAACAAATTCATCACAATCCTTAATAAATAAATAAATATATAATTTTTCATCATCACATATAATCTTACATGCATAAAAGCAATAACAAAATTTGACAACAATCAATGAAAACATAAACATACTACTCACAATATAAAAACAATATAATTAGCTACAAATATCTATTAACATAAAGGAATTACAAAAAATAACTTTAAAGATGGAATACAAGAAATTAGGGAAAAGAAAACACTTAAAAAGGAGAAAAGGAAAAAGAAGAGTAAAAAAAAAAACAAAAACTATAAAGAGAGAAAGTAATGATGACAAAAAAATGTGAATTGAGACAAAAATTATAAAAGTATGGCTGATTTGATTGAGACATATCAAGAGAAAATAAAAGAGAAACATAATATGAAGAAAATAAGAGTTGGGTGTTATAGTGAATGAAAAGATAGCGTGAAAGGAAATAATGGGATAAAAGGGAGTGAGAGTGAACACACACACATATAGATAAAAATTAGAGGGAATTTTATTTACCAATGGAATTACTAATAAAAATAATTAACTTTTTTTTTATAACAAAAAAACTTTTTTATTGATTTTTAAAATTAAAAATCAAAATTTAAAATTAGTAAACTATATTAGAAGAAATTACAGATAAAAATCATTTTTAGTCCTCCTCTACAAGGCAGACGAGTAATTTGTGATAGAGCTAATTTTTGGTTTTTTGGTAACCATGGGTGTTTAGATTAGGTTATATATATTTGGGCTAATTCTTTAATGCTTTAAAGTTAATAAATAGATAAATTTTTAATAATTGTAAAATTTATAATTTTTAAATTTATAATTTTAAAAAAATAAATTTAAAATTTAACTAATTAAATTACGTGATATAACCATTCTTGGGCTGATATTAGAGTTGATATTAGAGAGCTTCTTTCAAGGAATTGGGATGCATGCATTTCTCCCGAGCTCATTAGTGATGGTATCCTTTCCATGGCCATTCCATCTGTAATTAGCGACAGACAATTCACTGCTGATTGTATCCGTAATTGGCAACAAAATATAGTTTCGTCACTAATCTTTGTCGGTAAAAACTACTCTTCTTGTAGCGTGTGGTTTCTTGTAACTTGTAGCTCATGGATTTAATGAGTATATATATGGAGAATTCAACATTGTCCTCTTGAGAATAGGAAAAATCGAATATTTTAATGAGGGATTATCAAA